ACCCTGGCCTCATCTTTGGTCTATTAGAATGTGATAGTTGAGTTCTAAATTTCTAACAAATAAATTTTAACAAACAGAATGAAAAGCTCTTACATGAAATTCTCTAATCTTAAAGTTCATGTTTTAATTAACAGTATTTTACATGCCTTCAAGCCACAAGAAAAGATTCTTTTTTGTTTTATAAGTGCTAAATATATGTTACAATACAAGGGTTCACTGCTATAAAAGGTATCATGGAAAGGTATGCAAGGACTAGTGAAAAATACCTATTACAAAAAAGACCACCAATTTTCCGTGTCTATCTGCCCAGCCTACCATTTTTGAAAGTCCACTGGGTTTCAGATTAAACAAAAGTGTCAGTAGTTCTTATTTATTGGAATTGTTTTAAACCTGCTTTGTTGACTTACTCATCTTTTAGAAAGAACAAGGAATTGTTTTCTGAGTAAATATCTTGATATGGTCTAAACTTATTTCCTTAACCCACACATATGCACAGGTTTTGAATTCCTCAACTTTAATAATGGAGTATGCAGCTCATATACAGCATGTCATAGTATCACTAACAAAATGTTGATGACTTGAATCTTCTCTAGAGATATCACTGAAGGAATACCAGGAGATCCGATTCCAAAAGGTCATAGCCTTTTTGGTTCTCCTTTTACACATGAATGGAGAACTATTCAATGATAACTATTTTTGCTTGTTTGTTTCTTTTTTGTAATCAGCTACACATTTTTTTTCCCAATCCTTGTTCTTGCTAGGGAGTTAAGGTAAAGCCATCTGTCAGTCAAAAGTTGAAGAAATTTTGACTATCAGAAAATATATGTAATGGATAATTGAAGGTTGTAAAAATGATACAAAACTTTAATTTAAAACATGATTTCAAAGCATGTATAGTAGAAATTACACAAATATCTTTAATTTCACCAATACAATATTAAATAATTGGGATATCATTAGATAGAAAACTTAATAATTAGTTCAGCAATGATATGATAATTCCCTCTATCAACTGTACCCTAAGACCAATTGATCTTTATGCTCAAATATAATATTCTGTTCTTTAATAAATAACATTAGCAACTTGATATTATTATCAACTTATGTACCTAGACATTGTCATTTGAAATTGCATCAGCCCACAGAACATATATTTCTGTAACTAATTATTGTATCTATTTTTATTAGTGAGTATGTGTGATAATAAGATTGTGTCCTATGAGAATTCAAAATACTTTCTTTAATACTCACAGGAAAATTCTTATCAGGATTTAATATTTAATATCTACTTCCATAATGATACTGCCTCAGAAACCCAAGGAGGGGTCGCTTTGAGTTGGATGCCTCGATGGCAATGAGTTTTTTTTTTTTTTTTTTTGTGGTATATTTATGTTAGGTGCTCTGCTGGCGTAGTGCCTAAGGCATTTGACTGCTAACTAGAATGCTGGCAGTTCAAACCCACCAGCCACTCCTTGGAAGGAAAATTGGGCAATCTACTTCTGTAGCGACACCACCTTGGAAACCCAAAGGAAGGGTCCCTATGAGTCAGACCTGACTCGACAGCAGTGCATTTTTTTTTGTTTTGTTTTTGTTGTTTACGCTGAACAAAAAGTTTCTTAAGGTTTTTTTTTTGTTTGTTTGTTTAATTTTACAAAATAACTAATTCTGTAATTTTCTTTGTCTTGAAGACTGAGAAGCTAAAACACATTAGTATCCTATTTCTATAAATACAAGCAGAATCTTAAATATTTCCTTATGATGCAAATCATACCATGGGAGTTGTGGGTTTGAATTTGAATGCCTTTTCTAAGTTATTTTATTTTATTCATTTTGTTGTTGTTGAGAATATTCACAACACTATATACACCAGTTCAACAGTTTCTACATGTACAATTCCATGACACTGATTATGTACTTCAAGTTGTGCAATCATTCTCACTCTCCTTTTCTGAGTTGTCCCCCCCCCCCATTATCAAAATCATTGCCAGTAAGGTTCCTATTTAAACTTTCAAATTACTGTTGTCAATTTGAACATATGCATATTTCTTAAAAGAGCATAATGCTCAAGGCAGGCATTTTTTACTAGTTAAGTAAATTATTGTTTGGGTTTAAGGCAACTTCAAAGGATATTTTTGGTTTAAGATTTAAAGATTTTCTCAGTGCAATATTTTCAGGGGTTCTTCCAGCTTTATGGCCCTAGAAATTCTGGAGTCCATCACAATTTGAAATTCTGTTCTGCATTTTACCCTTTTGATAAGGATGCTTCTATAGAATACTTGACCAAATGTTCAGTAATAGTAGCTGAGTGACATCAGTTCTTCTGGCCTCATACCAAAAAAGGCAGTTGCCCATGGAGGCAATTATCTTCCATATCCTCCTCATATTTCTGACTCTTCTTTCTCTGTTGCTCCAGGTTAATAGAGACCAATTATGTTCTGAATGGGCATTTGCAAGCTTTTAAGACTGCAGGCAGTATGCAAGGAACTAGCAGGTAGAAAAGAAGCATTAAACATATTATTAAGACAGTTAACTTGGATATTTCCTGAAACCTAAAACTTCAAACCAAGGAACCAAACCCCAAGTAGTTTTTATTGAATTGCAAAGCTCTATCAATGCTTAGGAAGAAAGGAAGAACAAAGCCACAATATTCAGCTTTTTAAATGTTTCACTGTTGTTGTTGCTTTGTTTTGTTTTTAATTTTCTTTTTTCTTTTGTCTTCTATTTCAGTCAGAAAAAAAAAAAAAAAACGAAGGAAGCTAGAAGAGTATAAGAATAAGCGAAAATAACCAGTTAACAAATTTGAGCAAAATTAAGTAGGAGCATGTTCTTATAGAAATTCCAGAATTATCAAAGCTATGCCTCATCATATTCACTGAAAATAAATTCTAAACAAAATTACTAAAATAATTATATCCCTAAAAAACTAAGTCCCTTGTGACTACTGTATATTGTCCATTGATGAAAGCCAAAGGAATTGGTGTTCTGGAAAGATTAAACAATTTGACTACTCACTTAAAAGATTAATTAATTTGACAAAATATAAATGGTAGAAGATAAACATAAATAATACATGGCATGAAAAATTTTACATAATTACAGGCATAGCTTAATTAGAATAAAATAAAAAAATAATTTAGAGTAGACTAGACTGCAGACATCATTAAAGGAAGAAGCAGATAATGCACTAAATATTAGGTTCTTAGTAGCTCATGTAAGATTTGCAGCTCATGTTCTAAGCGAGGCTATTCAGGATCCTTGTTTCTTACTTCTTTTATACCCTCTGCCCAGTAAGGTTTTCTTGTTATGTATAATTAGCTGGTGGAAGAAAAAGGGCATGGATGAGGCACAGTTTCATTTTTAAATGTCTTGTTCTGTTAGTAACACACATCCTTTCTGCTCATAGTCCATTAACCAAGACTTGCTATATGTTATATCTAATTTAAGGGATTATGTGGTCTGTCTGTGTACAAGAGAAGAATGAATATATTTCTAGTGAACAAAAACTAAAATGAAATAAGCCAGTTCACAGCATATGCAATTTACAAATCCTTACTCCAATATGGATAGAAAATCTGAATGGGAATAAATCTATTAAAGACATTGAATTACTATTTAACATCTAACTAACCACACATAGTTAAGCCAGATGGTGTTACGGATGGGTTCTGTAAACATTTCTGAAACAGACAGTCCCACACCTGTAATCAGTTATTCCAGAAACTAGAAAAAAAGATGAAACATTCAAGAACTCATTTAATAAAC